TAGTATGAATCCTTTGACGTGGGTTCGGTTCATAATAAGGCTATTATACATAGGACAACACAACACAGAAAGAGATACAGACATATGTCAATGCCTCGAGCGAAGTTCGAAGCCCGATTTAACATTATGCGTTCCTTAAGACAGCACACACACTGTGATAGTCCAATAACAATAATTTTACACTTTAAACTGGATGAAAATAATGAATTCATAACAGACGAGTAGGTACCGTACCTCATAATTCAACCTATAGGCATGTAACAAACTACGAACAGCCTCGCATGGCCGTGCTAACTGCAAACGTATCCAATCTTTTAACGCATTTCTTTAACGCATTCATATTGATCCCCACCCACAGCACCCACTGTAAACTTTCACTTACATGTGGTAAGCAATCGGATATTTTCTGATACTTTCCACCTCTACTACAGTGTGTGTCAAAACTTACTCAACTACTGAATACCATAGCGTAACTATGGTTATTGTCTGTTACGACACGCCAGACTTCGGATCCATGCTGGGCTGCTGAACTCAACATGTGCCATGTGAGATCTGAGGCGGTGAGAACGATAATGTTGTTCTGGGTTTTGGAGCCGTGTAAGCTCATCGGTATATTCTATTGAAACTAGTGTAACGAAGGTCAAAGTTGAGTATTTAACATCTCGGCTTTCCAATCGGAAGGTCCCGTGTATGTTGGCCTCACTCCGGAGTATGAGGTGACTGTCTTCTGAGATGTTGCGCCGGGCAGTCTGGTAGAAACTGATAGCCCAGGTGATGCACCTCTGAAACGTCGGTCAGTTTCAACCGACTACGCGGCGCAAGATCCCAGACGACAACCACCAAACTTGCAATGTTGGTCTTTCGGGTTTAACGCTGTGTGGACTTGTAGGTAAGACCAAAATGTCTTAAACAACCACTGAGCTAACCAAGGAAGGAGTCTTGCTCGAAGCCCAACACCACGGTCCTTGGCCTGTTAAAACATTGCTAGGTATGAAACGCACAGCCGGGGGTGGATTGATAGGAACTTGGAGCTAATCACTGAAGCGGCTGGAGTTGAAACCAGGGCACATACAAAGTAATTAAAAGCTTAAATATTTGCATTCAGGAATACACATGTGAGTAATACAATCATATATATATATATATATATATATATATATATAACCTATTACAGAAACCTGTTAATATAACTGACAGAACTATTTGTCAGACAGATGTAATATAAAAAATCCAATGTCATTCTGAAGTTGAATAACACTGGGTTTCACATTCTAAGATGATACGAAGTTCTCGAATGTATTGTATCCGAACGTCAACTGGGATCTGATGTGCGTACCAAACATGGGATGGGCTTTTAATTCTATCCCATTGTAGCTGCCTCGATGTTGCTGTACAACTTTTTAAGGCTGAAAGTTGGGGACTACTTTTTTATAGGGTGGACGACAAACTTTACTGCAACAGTGTGTGCAAGAATATTATTCCCGTAGTTAATTGCCTTTTAACGTTCAGACTCATCTTCGTGGTCTACTGACCAACTATGAATTTCCTTCAGGAAAAAATTAAGATTTAAGCCACCGGAACCACTCGAATTCTTCCGGATAGTCTTCTGGAGAGAGACATTTAAAAAGAAAGTGAATTTTTGTCTCTTGAACATCTAGAATGGGGAATTTTCAATGGTAACCAAAGTCTTAAAAAAATTCAGCGGACTAAATTACGTCTCATTACCTTCCTTGGGTTAAAAAAAAAACATTACAATCCTCGGGACTCCTAAGGCAGTATCATTGTCAAAAGTATCATAAGACGAAGACCTACCACGTGGCTGTAAAGAATTACGTAAATAATAAAGCCACATACTCGTGGTTACAGAAATATCGTTTCCACTTATCGGCCTTGTGGAAATCTAGTTCATAGTGATATGTTATAATTAATGAACAAAACATTAATTGGGCCCTATATATTTAATAATGCATTTATTATTAACTCTAATAGCATTATTTATTATTACATCACTTTATATTGCACTTATTATTAAAAATTATAAAGTCAGTATATCCCTTGAATTCCAATCTATTACGTTCAACAGAAATCAAAGCCCTTAAAGAATTACAACAAAAAAGACCTTCTGATGAATTAGATGATGCAATGAGGCGGAAAAATTAGCCTCATTTTCTGCATACTTTTGAAAGAGATAACGAATGTAGAGATTCAGATGATCAATCATGAGATGGCTATGAAGTCGGATCGAACTTGAGCTTGGTCCATCGAGGGCATCTGAAGAACATAAAAGCGACAAAACTGCAGGATGCTCAACGGCACATTGATACGCGCATCCCCTGCAAAGGGTAAAATCAAATACGGCTGATCGGAGAACCGTAGATAGTCAAAACAGATACTGTCGTTGGTTTCAAAAAAAAGTCCTGAAGGTGTCGTAATATACGTTTCAGTCGGAATATTCTTGAGGACTGTGATAGGTGTTACTGTTTTACTGTAGCACCGGAGGTCAAATGTCCGCAGACAACGGTGACACATGCTGCTTATCGGGCGGACCTCCCCGCCCACCTGCATACCACATTGCTTCGTGTAGGCAGCAGTGATGAGATCATGCGAGCTGATGATGGAAAACTAAGCCTGATGAACAGCGTAGAATGTGGTGGGAATGGTAATCCAAGACTCGTCGTAACCTGTTTTCGAAGGAAATTGGTGGCCCTGGAAGTTGTGCCTGTCACTCCGCATACAGGAAGAACTCGTGCAACACGAAGAATAAGTCCTTCGACGAATCCGTCTGGGACGATACGAAAATGCTGTCGTGGAAAGTCAAAGCGAAAAAACAACGAACAACACAGTTAATATGCTTATGCAGAGTTTCTGTGATTTTGTTTTGAAAGTCTTTGTCCAACGAATAAAGTGGTATCACAGAACGCTCAATACATGTTATTTCCTAGTTATGATATCACATGCATTAAACACTGGCGTTAAAGTACGGTTGAACGAAAAAATATTTTTTAAAATAATCGTCTTTTAATTTTTTAAAACCCATCTCTGTTTCTCCTTTCTGTCTTGGAGTACAAAGGAAAAGCAATGATTTGGAAATGACTTTAGAAATCCTTATTCTGTTGGCCAAGAAATGTTTTGTGGCAATATGGGAAAGTGGAAAAGTAAATGAGACTTCTAATTTTGATTTTTTTAATCTTGGCCAAAACTGCAGGCATATATGCCCAATAGCATAGGCAAGTCTTATTGGACTCCGCTAGAAGTACTGTATTTCAAGACAATCTAAAATAAAATGCACTGTAAAATAATAACAGAAAACTCTTCCCTAATTGAATTTGGCACACCAAACTGTAACCGAGTTTGAATTCTGGTATGAGGAAAGCAATAAATTACTCTGTCTTGGCTTTGTCCCATGCAACTCCACGCTCGAAGTTCATAACAGGGTCGAAGAAATTCGGGACGATGTCCTCTTGGCAGGTGTACGCAGAAAGTGAGAGCCTACGGTCCGTTGAACTTGGTTACAATTTAGTAAACACCAAACTAATATTAAGCTCTTTGTTTGTCTTCGAGTCACTCTCAATTCTTGTAAATATGAACATATCATAAAATTTCTTTAACTCCTTTTGTTTTAATTTCTTCAAACTTATGAACATCACCGTAGAAAAGTAACGAGCATTTTCAGGAAGTAGAGAAATGGGTAATGTTCTTTAACACCTTATTTTTCACTTTTAAGTGTCCCATTTCTACGTCATTCTGCACTAATACACGTGACTATTTTTACGCGCCTTCGCTATTCAGCGTCTTCTAATATCCGCGGTTTTATTTAGTATCATGAGGATCGTCAATGTCATATCTCACTGGGTTCCGGGCGTAGTTTCACTGACTCGCCCTATGACTCCGGGGACAACAGATTAGGCCTCTCATGGTGTATCATTCGGACACTCCACGGGAATTTATACGTTTTACGATAAACTAGTTTTCCACATACACATGTGAAAGAGCGCTACTTCATCGTATGACAGTTACAATAAGTGCCTAAAACAAAGCGCCGCGATTCTAAACATGTCAGTTCCCCAGGGATTTTGATTTTTCTGAAAAATTTCGCGGTTTTTACACATTTTTGGAGTGTTAACCAATGCAAACCAGGCGTTTATATTAGAAACATTAGTTGACCTTGGTCATAAGTACGTTTCCTTTATATTACTAAAACTTTAGCTTCTTGAATCGAAAAGAATATTTACAGACACACTATAGAGATACAGCTTAGGACCCCAACGCATGATGCAGTTATAGAATGTCATGATATAGCTATTATGAACGTCATATCCTGAATATCTCGTACATTTCACAAGCTTGTTGACAAACCCACTTAAATGTAACTCATGGAAAGTCCTGCTTTCATTAGCCAATCTCCGCTGGTACATTCTAATGTATGTGCGCGTAACCTTGGGGTTTCTCGGAGTTTCGCAGATGGCGGATTCCTTTCTGAACACCAACTAAAATGTAATTTTCTATTAATGTTACAAAATTTATATGAAAAGCGTTGAAACCGGTAATTTTAAATGCTTTCAGATTATAGGTCAGAGATAAGCAAATATTTTATCCGGGGGCCGAATGGGAATATTACGAAGTGATTGCAAAACGAGTCGCCTCACACCGTCGCCTACAGAAAATATACGTTTTGAGAAAGAGTCGTCTTATTGGTAGCTAATGTTTGCAGATCACCGCGGGCCGTAAGTGTATGTTTAACATTTTTATCGGACCGTTTCTGGTCCGCAGGCGACTGTTGTCCACCCCTCTTGTATATAAATTTAAAAAAATCAACTGAAAAGGTTTTTATTTCTTATCCTGTAAGAAGCTGTTGCAGACTTATGCCAATATCTCTTGAAAACAGTGCAAGGTTACTTCGATCTAGATTGACATTAGGTACTTCTTAACATGCCCTAAGCAATGATTCAATGAAACAAGTATCTTGACAGATTTTTTGAGATACTAGAATTAGTCGTGGTAGTAGTCTAACAATGAAAGGCATCTCCAGAAACCTGCTACAATATCACAGAGCCTCCTAATTGCACATACCAGAACAAATACGGATTATTTTCAGAATATGGCAGCCTAAGAGCGTTTTAAAATTTTAAATCAGCAGACAGCTAGGCTAACATTTCCTAGAATTTTCTTTCTTTCTTACAAGTCATTGCCGATGTACAGGAAATAACAGTCCAGGATAAACGATGAGCTGAAAGACATTCTTTCAGAAGAAATCGAATAATCACATTTCGGAAATCCAGACTCAAAAAAGTGAAGGTGCGACTAGCTTGTACTACATACTAATAGGATACAGTTACACCTGCAATGTGGTTCAAGCTGTTTCAATTTCATTTAAAGGCCATCTATAGGATATAACATCAATGTCTTTCCCACGGACCAGTCTGATGACAGGATCTCAGCTATAAAGAAATCGTGAGAAAATCAGTGTCACGCACTTAACAATACGAACGAAAGCTCTGGTAACTGTTCTACTCCACCCACTCCACTTTCAGGTCCTTAGTGCAGAGGCGTTGTCATATTCGATTGGCCTCAGCCGAAACGGCCTCGATATTGCCCTGGAGGTCGGACGGAAGACAGACACCGAAGTCGTAAGCGCTTCGTAGAAAATAATTTCTGAATCTGAAATCATTTGAAGGCAGTTAAGTATACCGACGCGTTATTGGTAACGTAAGGTAGTAAGGCTATAGAAGATTACACAGTGAAAAACTTCTGTTGTCTTCATCAAATATTTATAGAAAGACGAAATCAAGGAATATGTGGTGCACGGAACATATAGCACGCATTGCGGATATGAGAAATTTACGTAGTTTTTAGTCGGGAAATTTCACCAAAAGGGATGTGAATATTAAAATTAGTTTTGAGACAAAATGGCGTCAGCGTGTGGACTGGAGTCAGATGGTTCAGAGTGATATCTAGTGGCGGAATCATGTGAATGCAGTAATGAGCTTTAAGATTATACAAAAGACATGGAATTTATTCATCATCTGAGCAACTGTCAGTTTCTCAGTATCGTATATAAAATTTTATACCCCTTTCCTAGTGCAGCCTTCTTCTGGATAAACCTTATTCCAGTTATCATATGCTTAATTGGGACAACCATAACCAATTAATCAACTGAATACAGTCCACACACCCAAACAGCTAAATTATTTACGATTTGTTTCATCCTCCCGTCAACGCCTAGATCTCCAAATCCTCTCTTCCATTAGGTTTTGTGACTAAAATTGTGTACGCACTTACTCACTTCCCCACGCGAACTTCATCCTCCGCCAGTCTCATCCACCTTCACTGTGTTACCCTAAATAATAAATAATGAAACTCCTTATACAGATGTTCCGAACGTTCTGTCGTTTCTTTCTCAGTTACAACTCTCCTCCTCGTCAATTCGTTCCCTAATCCAATCTAAATTTCGCACTGTTAGACAACTTCATAAATTAATGTAAACTAATTTAATATTCTATGACCATCAAAACGAGTAGATATGGATAAAAGTCAGACATTATCGAGACTGTCTGGATCAAACACAGAGGCTGTACACAGAAACACACAAGAATATAAAACACTTCATTAATTACGTAGTGACGTTTCTGAAATACACGCTGACAACTTGATGCTTACATACTGTCTACAAAATCGTACCAGAATACATTTCAAAGACCACAAGAAAAGTGTGATCTGTGGAATTCTAAATAGTTCAGCCAGCAACTGTTAAGAAACTGAAAGCAAAAGTGAAAAACAAAAATAGCCACTTACTTTAACCATTGGTGGTGTTCAGACTTGAAGATGGACATGTGAAACCGACGTTGAAGCTTGCTGTTCAGATTAGGTTGGTGCTGAAGTTGAAAGTGGTGATGCTGATTGTTTATATTCGTTGTTCAATATCAGAGGCCCCTGATCAGAGGGAAATTAAATTTGCACCTGCATGTAATTTCGCATATGAACACAATTTCATGCACTGTTCACCTTGATTAATTGTCCTGTTCTTCCACAAATATACTTGGTTTTTATTCAACACATTTACACTGCCTCTATTTTTCCTCAACTTCCAATATTTCACAATCGAAACGAATCACACTTTCCCTCTTAATTGATTATTACTTCTGAAAGTGAAAAGTCAGATTTATTTCTCAATACTTCTTGCTTGGACTCTTGCTTTTCTTTCACAAAACAAACTTTGCACTGAACGCATTTCCTTGGCTTCGTCAAACTGTGAATGGATTTGACATTTCACTCTCAATTTTAACATTTCATTCATTATTATTATTATGTAATTTTGCTCTAATACGTCATTATATATTCATATTGATGTCTTATAAAGATATCGTTGGCTACATAAGTACTTTATTCCCAAAATGTTAAAATTAGTTTCAAACCGTATAAACATTCACATACTGAAAGAAATACTGATTGAAATTAACATCCCCCGAACAAACATTTAGAACCGTCTTTGTTGAGATGCGAAAAAAACTAAAATATGGAGGGCTACAATTTTCGACATGCGTTGCCTTTATTTGGAAGGGCATTTATGCCAGTGAAATATGCAAAGTTCCGTATGTTCCTGTGAACACAGTACTCATTTTGTGTGTCAGTGTTCATACAAAGTATACTTCGTTTGTCAGATGATGGGTTGGGTCTAGAAACTGAATTCCTTGAACAGAAATAATTACAAATGTTAAGTAAGCAAACCTGGTAAATTGCTTTCTCGCTATAAAAATATAGATCCTTAAAGAAACTGCTTTTCTGAGACGGAGGGGTACTAACGTATGCCTATAAATTAAAGTTTAGGCACATTTTTATAATAGTATTTTCTTTATACATGTTTAAACTGAACTATCAAACACAATTTCAACCTCATTTTGTAAGATTTTTTCATAATGAGGTAATATAAAATTTGCGGTCCGGACCCAACATAGCTTAATTATTTTCCTTTCATTTTCTGTCTGTCCGAGTTTTGCTACGATCTAAAGCTTGAATTAGGAACAAATAATAAGGAAATTCTTTACGCTGCACGATTCATCTGAAAGGAAAAATATTTTCCGGTCATGCAATGTGTAATGCAAAATGATTCTCATGTCTGTAACCAAAGGCATAATGGTCATTTATTCGTATACGCATTCATCGTTCACTCATTTATCAATCGATTGTTACATACGGAAAGCCTAAGAAGTGTAACAAATATTTATGTAATGGCCACTAGAAGAACGATTTTGAACAAACTGAGAACTGCCACTTACTTTTCGAACAAAATGTGGCTTTTAAATTGTAATGTTTGTTCGAACGTCTTTTAAAATTAAATAATTCATTACAATGTATTTAAACAGAAGATGGAAACTTATAATGTTGCAACAACAGACACCGCACGCGCACACACACACACACACACACACACACACACACACACACACACACATTCCCATTGTGACTGATGGAAGCCAATCGAATGCTACAACAGAAACTATGGTGGAATATGGATGTTTACTTGTTACTTATTACTTAAAATATTGCAAAGAACATTTAACCAAACGTTGTGAGTGAACATACACGGAACCAAAACAACAAATATCTTCCGAAGTCTGTCAAGGCACATTGGACACATAAATATTGATCTAGACATACCTACACCCTTTCAGAGTTTGAGAGCACTGTACATAAAGTAAACACAACAAATTCAGACGGGCAACTAACATCCACCTTTCCTCCACTGTTGCCACATTTCCATTACAATCGCCTTACCCCTGAAATAAGTATTTGTAATGCTCTTGAATAATTTTATTTCAACGCATAATATTTGGCGTTGTAAATGGCTTAGAAATACAGTTTATGTGGTTTTAGATTTTCCAGTCTAGTATCCACAAGCCTACTTTAGTGTTTATTTTCGTACGCAATTAAAACCCGCAAGGTTTGAGTTTCTTTACGCAAAACGTAATGTTTTAAAAACGCATTTCTTTATCTCTTTCAGAGTAACTCCACATCAGAAACTGTTCTCATTACAGCGTTATTAAGATCTTACATCCTGCCTCACAGTAAGAATTTTAATATCTTATTCCTTCATTAACCTTAGACGTGTTATATTTCGAGTGATCATTTACTCGAAATTTTCCATCACTTCAGCTTTAAGTTTACTGTTACTATGGGATGGTACTGCGCTAAGGCGTCTCATTCAAATTTGGAAGATCTTCGTCATTATGAACTATGAAGTATTAAGCTTAACTGCCTGTCCCTAAAGCCTTGACCAGAAGAGTCAGGGCTTTATTTGTACTGGGAGAGGAACCAGAACGCAAAATTTATGTTAAAATGGAAAATATTTAGAATTTGATAGACTTGTATATTTGTTTGCAGTGATGTTTTATTGGTGCCCTGTAATCAGTCCTGTAATTCGGTTTCAATCTTGGCGTGTGGTTAGCTACCCTAAAGGGTATCATCCGCGATTTCAATAATATGGTCACATTCTACTGAGTGTCCCATAAGTCCGGCATTATAGGAAAAAATAATATTTTTTTATTTATACAAACCTTAATTCATATTTTTATATTTCTACAGACCGTAATGTCTCTGAGCAAGGAAGAACGACTCTAAATAATTCTACTCATAGGAATTCGGGGTCAAAGAGAGGCCGCTGCTGAATTTAACAGACTGCATCCAGACCGCGAGCCAATAACACAGAGTTGTGTTAATAGACTTGTTGCAAAGTTTGAGAAAACAGAATCCAAAGAAGATAAAACACGCAGTGGACCTTCAAGGAGATCCACTGATGAAAATTAGGAGTGTTGAACATTTGCGGCAGCCCATTATTGAGGGATGTAACACCATTACTCCTGAGATCATTCACCGTGACTGGTTATCATGTCTGGATTTGTGTATTGAGAACAATGGTGGACATATTGAGCAATTTCTGTGAATAAAAGTTTTTATTTTGCCTTTTTTGTGTTTTTCCTATAATGCTGGATTTATGGGATAACCTCTATATTAAGCAAAATGACTACAGCCGTAGGGTGATTAGCACTCTGTTTTCGTGTTCAGAGATTACTGGTTTGAACCTTGGCTCGGAGACTTGCTCCATTACTAAAGTTCTTTCTGATTTTCTTAGGTTCTTCCAGGTAAATTCCAGAATATTATCTTAAATAGGCCTTAACAGCTTTCTTTCATAGCCATTCCAGTTAAAAATTCACAATCTCATAATTTTACATAATATAACCTGTGAATTTAAAATTGTCATTAAATAAACAATTAGTAGATGCATTTGATGGACTCTGTCTCATCCCAAGCTACAGTCGAGTTTCCAATAGGCATGACCATACCCTTCCATATTCTTTCCGATTCATCGTTTATAATTCGATAATACTCACTCTCTAAGTGACGAGTTATTAACATGGTGCTGGGCAGAAGAGACAGTCTTCAGATTTGAAAAGTACAGTAACTGCTGATAAGCAATGTTCAACAAGTGTTGAAGTTAACTAGTGAAAATAATAGCAACAAACACTGAAATGCACTCACGAGGTGAAGGACAGTTATTGGAGGTCGGGTACATGTGTCTATCTCCAAGTTAAACTGAATAAATTTCAATTAATTTGTTACTGGTTGTGTATATTAAATAAGCTTTGATATGTATGAGCCAAAAATAACCTTTACATTGCATGAATCCCAATACCAAATTTGTCCAGAAATATACTATGTAGAATATCAAATTTAATCGAAGTTTGTTCTCACGTTTCCGACACACAGCGGATGGCTAGACGCGTCTCTATTACGGGCCTCTCGCAACGAAGTGGCGTACGTATCATTTATTGAGAGGGTCTCTGAACAACGGAAGCAAACACTCATCCACATTTCATTAACAAAGGAAAAACGGCGAATTAAATCTAAATGTCAGTTATTTTTGCATCACCAGTAACATTATATTTTATTTTGAAAAATATGAAGTGACTCTTCTGTCGTCAGAATGCATTTTGAAGTTCAGGTAACGGTACAAAGAAACCGCAGAATGTTTGTACAGGCTACACGTTACGTATACAAAGGTGAAAGTGTTTTGAATTCATACACAGGAACAAAAGATGTATCTGTAAAACCTGAGTTTGGAACACAGCCAATGCAAGTCTTGTGTTTAAAACTGAAGATGGTTCTCCATTATGACGAGAGTACGTTGCGTGTATTCTTTGCATTTCAAGGCACCTACTTCGAATGTGTGCCTGCTGTAGCAACAGTAAGACTTCCTACTAAAAATACTACCTTACCACAATGAGCCAAAGAATAGAAAGATCTGTCGATCACGCAATACGAAGAAAACTGGGGAAACAGCCATGCTGTCAATGAGTGGTCCCGCCCATTGGCAGCATGATTGCGGGGGTACTGGGATCATCATGCAATATATTAATCCTACAAGTCACGATTTAAAATGTTTCTCTAGGCTATGAAGTAGGCTATATATAACCTACCAGAATGTTGTTGATTCTCTTCAAAAACAAAGTTCATTGTAAAATTCCAGCAGTCGGCGTCTACGTTTGCTGTGTGAATCTTCAAGAAAAGCCCAGATTGCGATCTTCCGGTTTGTTGCCTAGTACAGTCTTTTGGGTGTGTACAGTCACCAATACTTCGGGAGGACAACCATGAATATGGAGAAAGCAGATGTTCCTCAGAACATATCTTGTACACTCACAAGACTAAATGTCGCAACCCAGAAGACAACAATCTGTACTCACACCGTGCACATATTAAATCAATAAGACTTGCTTTGTATTGAGACACTGCCGAATATAATGAGTTCAGAGAACTGTACGTGACTCTAACTGTAATTATGTAAAATGAATGAAGATTGTCTCCAAGCAGCTCAAGAATACACATAACTTAATATTATACTTCTGCAGTAACGTGACATAAAAGTTATCTCAGTCGCCGGTAGTGATTCAACATGGCTGACAGCAAAGCCCGCCACTGAACACAATTCTGAGCCAGTTTCATCCGCCGTCCATTCTCACAACCCATGGCCAAAATCGTGCTACATTGAATTTTATTACATCAACTAAAAAGCTCACTGCTGTAAAACAACAGAATAATAATCTAGAACGATTGTTATTTCAAAATTCTAAGTTTTATGAAATTATAAAGATGTTTTCAGACTTCATTTATACGTTTACATGAAAGACTCGCAGGCACAATCGAAGGTCATAATGACCTCCTGTTGGCAATTACCAGTTCAATACAGAAAAAATTAAGATTAAATTAGCGTTATTGTAATGAGAGTATGTCGCCGTATTAAACGAAAAGATAAATTATTAATTAATAATAACTTTGAACCAAAAGTGATTGAAAATTTGTGTGCGCTAAAAAGAAACCGCACGCAAGTGTCCTTATGCTGTACAGGGGACAAAATTTGCACTTTAATTATACTAGAGTTGCGATGAAACTATTCCAGTTTCTATGAAACGTGTCTACATTAATTGTTTTATAATATCTTTACATTATGACGTAACATCGCAGTAGAAGGTAGTTAGTTCCTGTTCTACCCCAGCATTAAGATCACCACGTCATCCTAAATTAACTATTTTTGTCCAAAATTCTGGAGTTATTCAACGGTATCTTTGACCTGCACGTACTACTACTACTTCTACTACTACTACTACTACTACTACTACTACTACTAATAATAATAATAATAAGTTTAGTATAGTGGTTAACGTCAACAAGCAACGTATAGTAGGCAATCGCTTTCACAAGCAAAAATTACAAAATTGAAAAGAGAATAACAAAATAAGTAGTAATATTAATAATAATGAGTAAAATTAAGATTGAGTAATCACAAAACCTTCTTCGTATTCATAATGTGCCATTCCTGATTTCTAGACCAGAGTTTGGTTACCGTAACTTAGAATTTTCGTAATTTTCTTCTAGTCAATAAAGTCAAATGCTGTGATTCTACTATGAAACAAGTAGGCCACTGAATCTTCCTTTCACATTCTTTCCAATTAATCATTCACGTACTTTTCTCATTTTATAAAATATAATTTAACAGTTGAGAAAATGTCGTTAAATAAAATAAGAAACACGGTATATCTACAGGACCTGAAAGGCTGTAGCTTGTGTCATGGGGGTGGAGTGAAAACTGAGCAGACCCAGCCAGAAGAGAGTTGAATCTGTGATGTGGGTCAGCGAGGCGGCGCCATATAAAACAAGTCGTACGTACCCGCCCGCCTCTCAAAGAACAGAGCGTGTGCAGTGAGTGGGGTGACCATCAGCATCGACCACTCTCACTTTAGCTGTAGTTAGGGTGGTGTGTGCTTGGTGTGTGTTTTGTTTGCATGGATCATTAGTGCTTTTTGAAAGAAGACAAGGGCTTTACTTCAAATACAGAACTTGACTGCTATTAAACATGATGGGATCATTAAGGTATGGTGATTGTTTTCTTATTGATAATCATCGTAGACAATGTAAGAAAAACCTGTTTTGGAACTGAAGTATTTATGGCGATCGACGTGAAATTATTAAAAGGTGTTATCTTTTCTGCATTTGTTATACAAAGCTCAATAGTAAAATTAATTCCAGGTAGGCTCTTAAGCTACTGGACACAGAAGTAGTGTAAGGCTTCGAGATGAAAGTGATCTCTATTAACCGTATTTATGAAAGTTTCTGTAATTACTTTTGAAAAGATGAAAACATTCTCCTCGTTTGACTCACTTACGAAAGATTCAATTATTCGTCTCTGAAAGTGACAGGAAAAGTCGTTCTTGTTCTTAAGCGCCACATAAAGGAGAGGTGTAAGGGCGTGGAGTTATATCTCCATGGATTTTTAATCGTGGTGCTAGGTGGAAGTGAGATATTCGCTTCGCACTTTGGCCAGTTAACCTCGAGGATAGAGGCTTCGGTGTTATTTATTAAGAAGCTAGGGCCCCAGGGGCCGCTGTGGAAACATTTTTGGAGAATATGAACTAAAATACAGGAAAGGTTGTGAGCGTGTGAACTGGATTAAAATGGTTCAGAACAGAGTTCAATGGCTGCGAGTTCTTGTGAAGACGACCGCCTAATGTTCCTTTGTGTTCCATAAAGTTTGGGGATATCAAGAGCAGCTCAGCGACTCTCATTTTATGAAAAAGGACTCTGGTCCATGAAGTTCGTTCACATCTGCAATTTACTCGGGTAATTAAATAAACTGAAAAATCTATCGAATTGATAGGATTTGTTCAAAACTGTGCTTTAATCGTTTTGTTGAACGCAGTAAAATAGGAGACAAGGCAGTAGTAACTATTTCACCGACTATTCCTTTGTCCGATAATTCGAGCCAGAAGATTTTCACTTTCATTATTGCAAAAGATACCAGTAAGGAGCTTGTTGAAATATTACAAACCTGCCAAGTATTACTTACCATCATGAGCCTTAGATTAGTTCTAAAAGAACCTGTAACTTATAACGCATATATGATGCTTAATAAGGGCGGTCTCCATGAACGGGTTCACTTCAGGTCTTATAGAGATTTCAACATTTCCACCATGACTAAAAACAATTCTGAAAATAATTTTTGGACTCCTTTCGGAAATGCTGTCATGTAGCTCTGAATGCATTCTCTGATCAAAAATAAGGTCTTTTGAGGAATTTATTCTAGTTTCGGAAACATAACGTCACATGCGGACAAATCAGGCTAGTACGGTACATGTTTCATGTCCTTCGGCCAATGATCTCAATCGAAACTGCTGTGTGAAAAGGCCACTGCCATAATTCAAACCCAATTTACTTTCACAGATTTAGTATATTATTTTAATGCACTACAGCACAATTTCCAGAAGCTGAAAGCAGAATATTGCTTAAACTGTGTTGCAGGAACAAATTAATTATATGCTAGATAATGTCTTTGATAACCGTAATCAAATCAGGAAGGATGAGATGGGCTGGGAAAGTAGCACGAATGGTGGAGATGAGAAGTGCTTATAAAATTTTGGAGGGAATCCTGAAGAGAGAGAGAGAGAGAGAGCGCTCGGGTGACCAATGCATATACGATGGGAGTACAATATTAAAACGAATCTTAAGAAAATAGAGTGGCAGGATGTGGAATAGATTCATCTGGCTCAAAATATGAATTGTTGGCGGGGTCCTGTGTATACGCTAATAAACTATCGTGTTCCATATTTTACAACGAATTTCTTAGCTAGCTGAGATGCTATCAGCTGCTCAAGAAGGATTCTTCTCCATAAAGTGAGATACTTCAGTTACCAGACGTCATAACAGGAGTTCTGCATTCTTTTGTTACTTGATTTCTGACATTCTATCTTTTCTTGGTTTTGAGAAGTCGACTTTTTTTTATTAGAGACCTCGACGTTTTGTCTGTATCATATTGGAAAGCTAAAGTCTCATCTTCCAATCTGTCAGGTTCTTTCGTAAATCTTACTGAATGTACTAAGCATATTTCTTTACTCCTAAGTTTTACAAAGAAAAGCAATACACCAATAAAACAAGTACAGCAATGCAATCACAAAATAAACTGAACCGTAATAACTGATATATATCTGCTGAATCACACAGCCACGTAATCGAACACGCGCCAGTTTTGTCAGCTGCTACACAAAAACATCAGTCCGTTTATATAATTGTTAGCCCTCGTATAATACCCATTCCTCCTCTATTTCAATCCTTTATGTCGCAAATTTACACAGGCAACAATTTTAATATTGTCCTTAATGGATCTCCTTTGTAACAGCTTGTAGTGAAGTGTAATATGTCATGTTTTGTACTTTACAACAAACTATTCTGCTAGATCCGGGTAGATAATTTAAAACAGGAAGTATTTCTCACTTATTCTGCCATTTAGCTCAAATTGCATGTTGAAGGTTTCGTTGTGCCAATACAAACGAAATAACAAGGTATCAATGAAACAATTTCAGACAAAATTCAGACGTTAACCTCAAGAACCAAGATCCTTAGTTACCAAACTCTGTACAACACAGAAGTAACTTTCTCATAGGCACGATAATCGGCAAAGGTTCTGTTTTTCTCTTCCACAGAAAAGGCCTTATTCTTCTCATATATAAAAATCTGTAAACTGAACAATTCAGGATTTTTATAGGCACTGAATTATACGGTATTGTTATAAGACTTTTTGGAGGGGAGGTTAATTAACAACATATTTGGAAAAGAACACTAAAACTGTTGCATAACCTACATCATCGCGATTCACAACAATACTTTATTTCTAAAGCAACATGCCATATCACTAAGTTGTGCTAATCTGTAGTATACACAATCCATTTTGGTATTTGTGGGTGTGTCGTCTGATTGCTGTCAGAGAAGAGATATTTGAATGGCGTGGACTTAGCAGAAAAATGTTGGCGTAGCACGGATGGTATAAAATATTCTCAGTAATGATGCTAGATGGCAGAAATTCTATTTTAATTTCCGATACTATTAGACAGCCTTTAAAATTACACTTCTAATATAGATGACGAAAACGTTGAAATAACACAGATGAAAAATAAATACGTGATAAAGGAGTGAAGAAGATGAAGGAATACAGGAAAGAAATCGTTCCCCATACTTTCAACAGGCCTTTTATATTAATGTAAAATATTAGCCTCGATACAGGCAACAAAACTTGTCCGAGACTTTTTTTTTAAATTTCTCATTACCTATGGAAATAGGTGAGTATATAAAATGTTTTAATGCAGTCATGTGAAGTAAAAGTTCCACTCAAGCTAAAAATTAAGGTGGTTGTTGCATTATGATGTAGAACTTCAATTGCTATTTTTCTAATCCTTGAATGCTGATCGAAATTCTTTCTTGCTAACGGACGGTTTCCGGCCTACTTTAGTCGATAATAGACTTTTGTCTTCCGGGACGAAACCTCTTTTTGTAGGCTACTTGATGAAAACATACAGGTCAGCTGCTGATCTGAGTGGAAGATACAGATACTTCCGTTTGTTTAAAATGCTAATTAGCTTTTACTTTATAACCAGTTAAAATCATTTCAGTGAAACATAAGTAATTTTATCGGCCGTCGCTCTTCAATGGTTAGAACTTCTGCTTCGAATCAAAAAAACACACTCTCCCAGCTGCAGATTTTTGTCTCCCCTCAGTTCTTTAAGGAACATGCTGAAATAGCCATTTGAAACAGGCCACGGCCACTTCTACCCACGTCCGTTCCGGTCATCATTCACAATTATGCATACCCTATCATAC